CTGCATTTAAAGCAATCATCTTTCTCTCAAGAGACCTCAAATATCCAGGGCCAGGAACCATGACGCTCACCATGGCTCTAGCCATGGAAATCTTGTGAAAATTACAGACCAGCAAGTACAGTAGACAAGGCATTTATCTCCAAAACAAATCTAGTTTGTCTGAATGGGCGTGGCTAATTCAAGCGTGAAATGCAAACTAACCAGTGCTGTGTAGTAGCTGTTGTAGACTGTTCCTTAGCAGAAAATTTGGGGTGAGTTTTTTTTGGGTGAGTGTGATAAGCCTGAAATTCAGCTTTCAGAAACAATCTTCATTATGCATTTCAGTAGTTTCACTGTATGGTGTGATGTAAACAAACAGAAAAGGAAAGAGCCCTGCATTGAAAAAGGAACCCTTGAAACTGTACTTTACCTTTTTTCATTTCTTTCTCCTTCTTGAAGATTTTGCCAGTCTCTTCCATGATCATGGCATCCCCTTTCTCACACAGGCTGAGAACAGACCCTCCAGATTTAGCTGCTTCAACCACTGCGCGCAGGACCCCTGGGTTCAAACACACAGGGTTGTTGAATTTGAAATGGATGCGTTAACTAAAAAACAGCCAACAACTTAAAAAAAAATGAGACCCTTCATAAATGACAGTGCTGCAGGAGGGATTAAAATTGATGGCTCAACTTTTCACTGCAAGTGAGTACACCAAACATGCACAAATTTGATTATTTTTTACAACTGGCATCGCTGGACTCTGACTCAGGAAGTCCAGCAAGCACTACCTTGCTCTGATTGCAAGAACATGTGAACTAGCACAGCAATGTGCACACATGAAGTGTTGAACTGTAGGTGCCCTTGAAATGTCAAACACCTGTCCACTCCCACCTACATACACAGCAAGGTCTGTTTAATAAAGGAGTCAAGTGGAAGCAGCACTGTTCTCCCACATTCCTTCCCTTCAGAAGTCAGGGCTATAGAAAGAGGTTCAAAAATGACCCAGGAGACGGTGTGTGTCACACATCAAAGGAACAAGGGCTGCTATTGTGGGTTTCAAGGACTATTTCTCATTGGGACAGGTCACTTGGCACCAGAGTTGGCAACAGCACAGAACAAGTGCAGCTTAGCTACCTACATTAGTCTTACATTTTGCAGCCACCTTCCTGCAACTGCACAGAAGCATTTCAGAACTAACCCTTTGCTTCCTTTCATTCTTCCTAGCACGGCTAACTTCGTAGACAGTGTGCCGCACCGGAGGTTACAAAACGCTATATTCCCTAATCACAAAACATTGCATGGATTTGGTTATGGAGGTATTATAGTTTTGCTTTTCGAGCACTTCAAAGGGCTTTATCAGGATGTTGAGATCCCATCACAGAATACAAGTTACATTTCTCTCTATTTTATAAATGGCTAGAAAATAATTGAAGCGTGGAGCTGTTTCTGAAGTACTCTAGCGTCACATCTGTGAACAAATCTTGATTTGCCTTACTCACAAGAGCAGCCCCAGGGAAGTCTCTGGGATTATTTGAGGGTGAACAGCAAACAGGTTTGCACATTAGCCAATAGTCAGTATGTACAGGTACTGGGAGCCAGGGCTTTCCTTCTGTTCCCAGATCTACCTCTGGCTGTATGCAATTACTTCACCTCTGGTCTTCATTCCCCCCCTGACAAAGTGGGATAATTCTTATTGGGAGCTGTGACACTTACAATTTTGTAAAGTGCTTTCAGATCCCTGGTTAAAAGGCATTTGCTCAGAAATATTTTGCCCAATTTCTACTACGTGGGGGAAAGAGCCTAGTTAATGAATTAAGTAAAAAAAATTTTGTTTCCTCATACAATCACCTTTCCATGTACTACATAAACTGTCCGGTGGCACCTTAAAAACTAACAGATTTATTTGAGCATAAGTTTTCGTGGGTAAAAAACTTCACTTCTTCAGATGCATCTGAATACTAATCTGGATGCATCTGAAGAAGTGAGGTTTTTTTACCCACGAAAGCTTATGCCCAAATAAATCTGTTAGTCTTTAAAGGTGCCACCGGACTCCTTGTTGTTTTTGTGGATACAGACTAACACGGCTACCCCCGATACATAAACTGTGAATTTGGAAGTGGGGTTTTTAAGTATATCTAAAAACCAATCACAAAAACAGTATTTTATGTATGCCATCATGTTGTGAAGAAGGGGCAGCTTGAAAATATGATGTGTTAAAATTCACACAGAAGCAAAACAAATGGCGATCAATATCCATTAGGGAATGGGAAAGTTACAAAACTGTTTAAAAGCACTGGCCAAGGAACATCTATTAACTGTACTTATACAGTGCCTCATTCCATGAATTAAAAGCACTTTACATCATTAAATACATGTACTACGTTGTCAAGAAATCAAGAGAAAAATCAGGAAAATGTAAAACCTTCTAATTATTCTGGATTTTAAATGTTTTACCTGTGACGTACAGAAAAATACCGTGACCATTTTACCTTCCCATGAGGAGTGTCCCCTACATGCCATTAAACTGATCAGAACAGATTTAAAAAATTTATTACAGCTAATGTTAAAAAAAAAATTATATAATACATAGATTGAGAAAAGAGTGTCTGTACATCTGGGTATAGGGCTTAGATTATCCACAAACACAAAGCTGGTTTTTAAAAGTACATAATCAGCAATAACGCAAATGTAGGTGACTAGATTGAGCAATACAGTTTAGATATTAGAATCCAAATACTCGGGGAACGTCACTCATGAAAACTGGTACAGAGATTTGGTTGTGGAAAGCCAAAGACATCAATGAGTGGAGACGGTCCCTCAGTAATTGAGAATTGGGTAGGTTGTCCATTTAGAAAGGATCCCAGTTCGCACTACATGGTGTCTAGGACTGGGCAGAGCATCCCGACAGGACACAAGTTGACACGTGCGGGGTAAGGAACATGTTTGCGACCCGACCCCCCACCCCCCGTGCCCTGGCAGCCTTCAGCGGGATCCCCGTAAAGGGGAGCTCTGACCTAGCGATGGCGAAGGGCCCCAATGCCCGGGGGCCCGAGCCCGGACCGCCCAGCAGCTGTCACTTTCCCCGGAGTTACGAGCCCCCCCAGGAACGATCAGGCAAATCCCTGACAAGGGCCGCGGCGCTGGGGCTGAAGCCGAGTGTGAAGCGCGGACCCCGGGGCAGGCCGGGGTCTCGGGGCCGGGCGGGGGCCCGGGAGAGGCCGCCCCCCCCCCGGCTGCCCCCCCCCCCAGGGGCCCGGGACAAAA